GAGGCCCCCAGTTCAGTCTGCCTATCTATCCTGATTATATTAATAATTTAGAATACAGAATAACAGAGTTGGAAGGGACCTTGGAGGTCTTCTAGTCCAACCCCCTGCTTAGGCAGGAAGCCCTAGACCACTTCAGACAAATGGTTATCCAACATCTTAAAAAATTCCAGTGTTGAAGGATTCACAACTTCTGGAGGCAAGTTGTTCCACTGATTAATTGTTCTAACTGTCAGGAAATTTCTCCTTAGTTCAAAGTTGCTTCTCTCCTTGATTAGTTTCCACCCATTGCTTCTTCTCCCACCCTCAGGTGCTTTGAAGAATAGCTTGACTCCCTCTTCTTTGTGGCAGCCCCTGAGATATTGGAACACTGCTATCATGTCTCCCCTAGTCCTTCTTTTCATTAAACTAGACATACCCAGTTCCTGCAGCCATTCTTCATATGTTTTAGCCTCCAAGTCCCTAATCATTTTTGTTGCTCTTTTCTGCACTCCACATCTTTTTTACATTGTGGCAACCAAAACTGAATGCAGTATTCCAAATGTGGCCTTACCCACACTTGGAATACTGCAAATAATTTAACAATCGGTTCTCTGCTCTAATGATTTCTTCCAACAACCAGTTCACTAAACTGCTCAGAAAGTTAACAACCGGTATTCCCGAAGTGGTGCGAACTGGCTGAATCCCACCACTGGCCTTACCAAGGCATTATAAAGTGGTATTAACACTTCACGTGATCTTGATTCTATACGTCTGTTTATGCAGCCTAGAACTGTGTTGGCTTTTTTGGCAACTGCTGCACACTGCTGGCTCATATTTAAATGGTTGTCCACTATGACTCCAAGATCCCTTTCACAGTTACTACCATTGAGCAAGGTACCACATATACTATACCTGTGCATTTTGTTTTTCTTGCCTAAATGTAGAACCTTACTTTTTTCACTGTTGGATTTCATTTTGTTAGATAGCACCCAATTTCTTTTTTTAAAAAATGGGACGTGGGCATATGGCAAAAATTACCACCAGGTTTGATGGAGGGAGGGGGGATTAAAATCAGTGTTTATTTCTGACAACTGCCTGGACAAGTCCCTGGAGTTTTTGTGGCAAGATTTTCATAAGTATTTTGCCTTTTCCTTTTCCCTGGGTCTGAGAGAATGACTGGCCCAAGGTCATTCAGCTGGCTTCGTGGCTGAGACAGGACTTGCCTCCCAGTTCCTAGCCTGGTGCCATAACTACTACTCCAAACTGGCTCTATTATGGATGCCTCAGGAATTCTTACAAAACAAAAATGGTGGGCAGCTGCTGCCAATGCCAGTGTTTCCACTTGCCAAGAAATACCAAAGGTCAGGTGGAAGGATTCCCAGGAGAAATAGGTGGGTGGTATCCATACCTCTGATGAAATGAGCTTCAGCCCACCAAAAAACATGTACACCATATAATAAAATGTATTACTTCAAAAACCATATTCTCTTGTCCTACAAAGAACCTGATTATAATGTAGGTTCTGTTGTGTCCAACTTTCTGCAAATGGAATGGAGTCAGAAAGAGTTCAATGCACAAGTAATGTATCTCATGAAACCTTCTGTGTGTCCTACAAAAGAGAGGAATTGCTCAGCCTGCATAGTACCATATATAGTCTTTTAACTTTTAATATTTTCCCAGCACTTGACTGCAAATTGAAAAGAAGGGGGAATTAGCTCATGTGAACATAAAGTACCCAATATGCTGAATGCAAATTCACAACTGAAGTTACTAGTACCATTGCAGTTTTGCTTAAGGGGCAAAGAAAAAAGTATGGAAATAGACTTTCTTTGGTGTGGCTTTTCTGTTTCGGTTCTTTCTTTTCTTTCTTTTTTCTTGCATTGACTGTACAATCATAAAAACAGATAAGGTTGAACTGTGAACATGAAAAACTGAAGTCTGTCGTGAAACTTCAGTATAAATACAACAACGTTCAAGTCCATGTATCCAGTGGTGGGATAGAGCCAGTTCGCACCACTTCGGGAGAACCGGTTGTTAACTTTCTGAGCAGTTTGGCAAACTGGTTGTTGGAAGAAATCATTAGGGCAGAGAACTGGTTGTTAAATTACTTGAATCCCACCACTGCATGTATCTCCTTACTAAAAGAAAAGCATGGGGGTCGGGTTTCCCACATGCAGAATTGATTTTGCGATCTATATTAACCAGTCTTCCTCAACTTGTCCTCTCCAATTCTGTAGGCTTTCAGAATTCCCAGTGAGCAGGGCCTTTCAACCAATCTAAATAGAAGGTACTCAATTGGGAAAGGCTAATATGAATGATTAAGTGTCTGTATGTACACAAAGGGGTGGGATTCAGCTGGTGTAGACTGGTTCGGGTGAACCAGATGTTAATTTTAATCTGGTTTGCTAAACAGTAGTTGCAAGGACTGGCTGACCCTGCCCATCCTGCCCCGCCCCTCCCCTCCCAGAAGTCTCCACTTGGCCTGTTTTGGATGCCAGGTAAGTGCAGGGCCTGCACGGAGGCTCTGGAAGGGTGAAAAACGGGCCTACTAGAAGTACCAGAACTCCAGAAATGGGTCTGTTTCCAGCTTCCAGAGGGTCCCCGGAGCCCGGGGAAGGCCGTTTTTGCCCTCCCAGAGGCTTGAGGAAAGCTTCCAGAGCCTGGGGAGGGTGAAAAACAGGCCTACCGGAAGTACCGGAAGTTCAGAAACGGGCCCCTTTCTGGCCTCCAGAGAACCTCTGGACCCCAGGGGAGGCTGTTTTCATCCTCCCAGAGGCTCGAGGAAAGCCTCTGGAGCCTGGGGAGAGCAAAAACACCGCGACCCCCACAGTGGTGCAGGAAGCTGATTAGGCCACACCCATCCGGTTGCACACTCTGCAACCGGGCAGAGAACCAGTTGCTAAAATTTTTCAATCCCACCCCTGTGTACACATGCTATCATTTATTGCTAAACATGGACAGAACTGAAAAACTAGGAAAATTAGCCAAGTTAATGAAAGTTTCTCAAAAGAAAGTTTGTTATAATTCATAGGCAAACACCTTAAGTATATGTAGTCAGGAGATTGACAGCCAAGAATATTTTTTCTCATTACCTATGATTGCTTTGGGGAAAACTTTTGTTTTTGTTTTCTTAAAACAGAGTGAAAAATCAATCTATTTAATGAATGTGCCTACCCCCCTCCCATCACATTTTTGTAATCCTCAAAGTTCCAGATATGTGGCTAAAATTCAATAGCAAAATAACAAATTTCAGTAGTAAGATTTTGTTAACAAAATACCCTCCTAAAAGGTATGTCAGTGATGGCTAATCTTTTTGCCATTGCGTGCCAGGAGCAAGGGGGGGTGCTCACATCCATAATTATGTGCCCTGCCTTTGCGCATGTGTGCGCTCCCACCCCCCGCTCCTGGGACGCGATGACATGGTAGGCCTGGTTGGCCCATTTTTCTCTCTTCCCAGGCTCCAGAGCCTTTCTATGAGCTTGAGGAGGGTGAAAACGGCCTTCCCCAGCCCCTCGGAGGCCCCCTGGAGGCCAGAAATGGCCCATTTGCCAACTTCCAGTGGGATCAGAAGGCCCATTTTTTGCTCTTCCCCAGGCTCCAGAGCCTTTCTAGGAGCTTGGGGAGGGCGACAATGGCCTCCCCCTCCCGGGGGCCTTCTGGAGGCCGGAAACAGCCTTTCCCCTACTTCTGGTGAGCCTAGAAGGCCCGAATATATGTGCGCTGGAGCTGAGCTTGCGTGCCCACCGATATGGCTACGTGTGCACCTGTGGTACGCGTGCCATAGGTTCGCCATCACAGAGGTATGTGAAACTTCTTGCCACCATGGTCTTAAAAAGTAAAACAAAGAAAAGCCCAATAGAACAGACACAATACAAACAATCTTCCAGGCTATAGAAACACAGAGAAAAGCCTTCCCTGTGTTGTGGCCAAAAGTGCAGAGGAGAATCAATCGGGGGAACCGATTGGTACACTATATCAAAAGATGGTTTACTCTTCTAAAATGGACTTATCAACTTTTAAAGAGACCATTCATCTCAGCAAGCTTTCCAAAGTCCCCTTTTGTAGGAAATCTGGGGTCAGTTGTAGAAACAGCTGGATCCCCTGTTACCAGCTAAGAGGCAGATTAAGACAATCACTATGATTTTGAAAACTCACAGTATGCCTGCTCTTAGCACTATACACCTGAGACAAAGTCTTTTTGTCCTTCACAGCTGTACGATCTGTGTATCTTTCCCACCGTTTATGTATTTCTCTTTCCTGCTCATTTATATACGTAGAGTGGATGTCTTCATCAGTCATTTCTATTATCCCATCAGCTGAAGTTATTGTTATAAGTGCAATATAATCTAATCATTGTTTGTTTAGCAGCAATCTATTTCTTGAAGTGTTATTTTGTGCTCTGGTGAATACTAATAGCATACAGACAGTGATATAGTTGGAGAGTTATGTACATAAAATCACCCAATTCCACAGCACATATTTTGTGCCCATAAAATCCCAGGCGCCATTCCTGCCTCTCCCTTTAGAAACCTCTCCCAAGACGAAATGGCATGCTATATTTGTTTGTTCATTGTAGCAACACTATAATCCTAGGTAGGAGAAATATTTACCCCTTTGTCTTCTGCATTTACTGACAATAGTGAGGAAACTGATGCGGTTGTGCAGGAACTAAAACAGAAAAGCTGAATAAATCAAGCATGGCTTCTTCTGGGATTGAAGAGGCACATGTAATTCCATCTGCCCCCCTTTTTTAAAATAGCATAGGGTAAAAGGTGATTGGGTCGGTTAGTTTAATCTTCATGGGAACAATTTGCCCAACCTTCTGGATCCTGGGATGCTATCTAAGAACCACTGTAATGACAACTTAAAATTTCTATGTACATTTGATATTTTAAAAAATTCTCATTGTCAGTGTTCATTTAGTTAACAGTCATGCTGTGTTTAGAATGTGTGTGTTACAGTTCCCCTAATCTTAATTGACTAATATATAAATTAAAACTTATTAGAAGAGCAAAACATGAAAAGTTGTGTAGGCTGTTTTAATATAGTTAAAATTATTAAACAATAGGACCCTGATTAGACTGATAATATCCATGGCAACAGTTGGCAGCTAGAAAGCCACTCCAATTAAAATTAAATTGAGATGAGAAAGCCACTGTTGTGTCAAAAATTGATAAATTTCAAGCTCAATGAGTAATTCCAAACATTACTTTCAAGATAAATTGGAAAAGGTTTGCTTTAGTCACCTTCAGCAATCTAGATTTATTCTGACAAAAATGAAAACAAATTTCATGCACAATTTTAGCTTATAAAATTAATAGCTTCCTCCGGTCAAAAAAAGCACCTCCAGTTACTGAATATTTGACAAATAAAAACTATGGGGCTAAGATTAAGCAACATTAAAGTTATTTCCTGCTGTTTCCTTTAAAAAAAAAAGGCTTCTGTAACTATCTCCAAATTTTAGATAAATAAAAAAGGTTGGTTTTAGACAGTTAACTTGTGTGTGCTGCATGTAAAAAAAATGGCTTTATGCTAAATCTTATGCACTTTCATTGAATTTTCAGTCCAACCCAATGCATATTCACTTAAAAGTAAATCTTTCTGGGTTCAGTGGATTAATCCCAAATAGGTCAGTACAGTGTAGTAGCTTGGGTCTAAAATAGTGTTGAAACCCTAGACTAAAAGCCACTAAGACAGCAAATGAACTATATATAAATATAAAACCTTGATACAAACAGATTTGATATATATATATATTTACGTATATATAAAATATCATCTTCAAGGCACTAATGTGATGGCTAAATTGGATTGGTTTGACACCTTCACCAGAATCATCTCTGATGTAGGAGATGGGATGGAGATGTCATATCTTATCTTGGGATCAGTTGTCAAGTCTTAAGATGAAAATTCTGGACAGCTGTCCATTTGCTTTCTTCAGTTGTCCTGGAAGTTTAACAGTTTGTTTGTTTTTTAAGCCGTGGATGCTTTCCACCATGTTGTTCTTGCACCAGTTTGCATTTCAAATCCTTTATTTTCACCACGAAGGTAGAACTATACTGCATAGATTGCACGAAGTCTTGCTTCTCTCCAGAGTTTGCTCTACGTCCCTATGCCAATAACCCAAGTCGGGTCACCTTGGCAGAGAGGAATGAGTGGATGATGAAGACAATTGTTTTGGGACAGGAATGAAGATCTAGTTGCTGCAGTGAAAGGAAATATAGATATTGATGAGTAAGCTATACACCACATTTCACCTCCCTACATTAGTCTATGCCACTAGCTGGGTAATAGCTAGCAAGTAGCAAAAAACAGAAGTGTCTATCAAATTAATTGCTTCCTGAATATCTCCAGTAAAGAAGTAACTGCACCTAATGTTGCAGGGGACAGTCAGTTCTAATGTATTCATTAGTATATAAGAAGCCTACAGCATTAACATATTGCAGACAAATTTTCATTACAACTTGTAGGTAACAAAAATTATAGACTAAAACTGTAAGTTCACAGTCCTTGGCTATTTAAATTTACTCCAGTCATTGTTTATGGTGAATTGCAAATAATAATAATAATTAAAGAACAGTACTCCATCTACATTTTAAATCTCTACATAAACTATTATATAAATGTGAGGGTAGTTGCATCTCTGCATAATCCATTTTGCTATCATACTTTATGTTTATTCTTAAATAAATAGTGGAGGGACAGAAAGAAAAGAGAAGTCCTAATGATTGGGGGGAGCAGAGCAGGTGAGGAGACCTCCCCTAAAAGTGTTTGAGGAACTATCCAAGATGCTGAATATTACTCAGTGAAACCTCTTGGTTGCTATTTTTTAAAAAATTTGATTTATATGCCGCCCTTCTCCAGAAACTCAGGGCGGCTTACAGTGCGTTAAGCAATAGGCTTCATACTTTTGTATATTTTATACAAAGTCAGCTTATTGCCCCCACAAACTGGGTCCTCAATTTACCTACCTTAGAAAGGATGGAAGGCTGAGTCAACCTTGAGCCTGGCAAGATTCGAACTTACTTTAATTGCAGAAGCTGGTGTTAAATTACAGTGCCTTGTCTGCAGAGCTATCCAGGCTCCTCTATTTCTCCTTATCGTTATAAGAACTGAGAAAGACATTTTCTAATTCACCACATAAAATCTTTAATTGCACAATAACTAAATATTATGCATAGGCACAATGCACAGACCAAGATTTTCCCTTGACGGTTCCCTTTTTTTTGAAAAGCATGCTTCTAAATCAATTATTGCCTTGCTTATCTGAATGTAACATTCTGATTTGGAATTCAAAAACATGCATGGCCTTTCTGGCCTATAATAGCATTCTTTCATGTTTGCCCCCTCCAGATGTATGAAATTCAACTCCCAAAATTCTCAACACTGGCCAACAACTTTAGGAATTAAAGGAAGTCCTCATATCTGAAGGCCTCCAGGGTTGGAGAACGTTGACCTACACATTATTTTCACCACATCCATGTTTGGTCTCACAAAGCAGAAAGCGCACGAGGGGCTTTGGTCAAACATCTGAAATCCTGAGCAAAAGGCACTATATCAGGTTCCCTCAGAAAAGCCTTCTCCCTTTGGGGCACAGTTTAAGGAAATTATAGAAAACAGTTTTTCAGTGAAGTTTCTATTACTTTTGTTACTGCAAATGTTGCAGCTGGAAGAGCACAACAAGGGAAGGGAAAAATGTATCTCAAATTCCTAGGCAAGGCCTGCCTTCCTGCCTCTGCCAGAGTTCCAGAAACTGAGGAGTTTCTCCCAAGGACTGCAACATCTTTGGCACATCATCCTGTATTCAGCTTGATGACCTCCAATTTCAACAATTTTTTATCATCGGCTATGCAAATAATTGGAATTCAAAACATCCGCAGGCCTACCACTACAATATAAATTACAGGGTGTCAATGTATTCATGACTGGCAGAGACAAGGTCAGCCAATGAATAGGCATTGCAACAGATCAGCCAATGGGAGCTGATTGGTGACTGAAACAGTTTTGGAGCCTGGGTGTGGCTTAGCTCTGTCCTCAGCTCTGAAACAGAAACTAGTCTGCTCTCTGAACTGAAACTGAAAACTGTTCTCTTCTCTGGCTGTTGGTATTGTATATTTACTTCATGTGTTATTGTGTATGTAAAGAAGTTAATGAATCCTGCTGAATCAGTTACCTGTGTGTGCTTTCTGGATTTGATTGCTGCAACAATCTCTAACACAGGGTACTTTGCTTTAAGAAATCTTTCATGAAATAGCAGAGTACACTTGCCTCTAAAAGCAAAGTAGCCACATTATATCACTTCATCTTACTTTTGAGGTCCCTTCCAGGTATTGGGACTGTTGGAGGAACATTTGAGACAACCTAAACAGCCAAGGTGAACCATGTTGTTCCCCTGCACAGGCCTCATTAAGCTACAAGAACTCCATATCACTTCCTGCAAACTTATTGAAAGAACAAAAGAAGAAAATAAATCTTAGTTTATAGTTGTTAAGGTGTGGATTTGGAACAGACAGACTAAAGTTCATCCCCATTTGAATACAGAACATATGGGATGACTTTAGGTGAGTCACTCTCTCAATCCATCCTGCCTCAAAGAGTGCTTATAGTGGAGATAAAATTACAGACAACTTCCACTTAAGCTATTTTCAGTTATCAAAGTAAAGGCCACACGCACACACTAAATAAAACAAAAAAGGAAACCCACAATCTCTCCCTCTGAGCTGCCAAAATCCAAGTGAAGCATCTTGGCCCCATCATCTGAAGACATCTGTAGCTTCTCAAAGGGTTGCTGCAGAAGAACAACATTGGTGAGGCCTGGCTCCAGGGTGGAAATGGTGAAACCCTTGTCAATGTGGATGGACAGGGTGCAGTCCCTCCCATTCCATGTACAGGCTAGGGGGAAAAACAGGAAAATATATATAAATCTACTTGTTAGGAGAGGAGGCAACAATTTTAGCCAAGAGGATAAAAAGTAAATGTTAATTGAATTCAAATGTAATTCAAATTATAAATCAACGTACCATGAGTATGATTACTTCACTATGTACCAAATTGTTTTCTACTTCAATAATACAAACATTAAAGGGGACAAAAAGAAAACAAAAAGGACTTCAGTCAAAAGTGCTACTACTCATTTCTTGGGCATCATAGATGTTACAAAAAGTATTGGCAGCAACTAATCTACAACTTTCATGATGGACTGTGCTAACTTTGTTGCCAATAGTGGCCTCTCTTGTAATAAGTTGCCCGGTCATGCTTGAAATTACTGAATTAAGAAGCACAATAAGATTCTTGCCAAAGAATGCCTAATTCCATATTGGTATTACAATGCAGAATTGGCAAGCAGAAAAGTTTTCCAAGCAGGCAGACCCATGCCGACATCCCAGTTCATTAAAGTTTCTATGGCAAACTCCAAGCACGAAGCCCATCTGCTTGCTCACCAGTTGACACTTCCTGGACACACTCAGCCGCATTATGGCAACCATCCACCAGCACTCTTGTCCATGTGGCTAAGTCCCGGTTTGTCTCCACACTAAACAGATGTGTTTCCACACCTTTCTTAGTTCCAGTACGCAAAGCGAATGAGAGTTCTGAGTCGTACAATAAAGAACCTTTTGATGGGCCAGAGTGCACAAGCCTAGATGGATCAGGGGTGGAAAAAAGAAAGTTTTAGATATAAAGATCATTAATTGCAGCTGGATATGGCTCTTCATCAAGTACAAAGACAGGCTTATTGTTAGGTAAAGTGTGTAGCAGTCCCAGCAAAAATTTAAGTTTGAGTTTGAGTTTTCAGTTATTGACTAATCATGTGTAATAACAGCCACTAGAGGCCGCTCTTGTACCATTGTTGTAGCTCCATCAGGTCCCTATTTTGCACTAGACTTCTGTACAAGAGAAATAATAATAATATTAATAGTATTAATTAGAGTTCTTTTTCCTTTTCTGGCTCTCTTTTTCTCTATTTCCTTCATGCAGAAACACGGAGTTAATTAATAACTGGACTCCGATATGAAGTCCTTTGAAGTTACAGATCCAATCATACTCTAGCAATAGAAGACTGACTCTTGGTAGTTATTAAAATGACTCTAGGCAATTCCTTTTTTAAAAAAAAATATCAACAAAGGAAGAGACTTGATTACATTTAGAAATGAAATTAACATCCCAGGAAAGGCCATGCATACAAACTAGGCCCTTAAGTGCCTGGTAAAATTGTTTCCAGCAAGAGAAAAAGCAGGTGTGAACCAAAGGCCAGGGCCCCTGAATTCAAGACAAAAGAAAAGGACACAATGCAAATCCAAGGAGCAAAGGACTAATCACAACAATAAAAAAATATTCTTTCTCAACTGCAAAGGCAACACAAACTTTTCCAAGTGCCAATTATTGAGGAGAATTAAGGGAATTCTCAGCCCCCTTCAAATAAATATTTCACCAAAATCTCAAGATAATGAAATCTCACATATGTACAGGGCGATTTGAATGGGTGGCTTTTCTTCACATTAGGGCTTGGGAAGATGTATCATTTATTTTGCTTCCTATTTAGGATGACCAGTTATGTTCCTCTTCTATTTCAGTCAGTCTCTTGGCACAAGGTGGCAGTAAAACCTTAGAAAACCCTCAGGGCAGCAGGACAAACATTCTTCCAATGGAGCTCTTTGCACTATCTATCTGTCTATCTATCTATCTATCTAGTCAAACATGTAAAAGATAACAGGTATAAGTATAAACATATGAACATAGTAAATCAGTACGAATAAATGGAGACAGTAGGATAAGGACGGTAGGCACGCTGGTGCGCTTATGCACGCCCCTTATAGACCTCCAAGGAATGGGGTGAGGTCAACAGTAGACAGTCTAAGGTTAAAGTTATGGGGGTTTGAGGATGTAACAACAGAGTCAGGTAGTGCATTCCAGGCATGGCCACTCTGTTACGTATTTTCTGCAATCAAGTTTGGAGCGGTTTACCTTGAGTTTGTATCTATTGTGTGCTTGTGTATTATTGTGTTTGAAGCTGAAATAGTCATTGACAGGTAGGATGTTGTAGCAGATAATTTTGTGTACTATGCTTAGGTCAGACTGTAGGCGGCATAGTTCTAGGTTGTCCAAGCCCAAAATTTCAAGCCTGGTGGCATAAGGTATTCTGTTGTGAATAGAGGAATAGAGGACTCTTCTCGTGAAATACCTCTGGACTCTCTCAATTGTATTAATATCCAATATACAGTGCGGATTCCAGGCAGATGAGCTGTATTCGAGAATTGGTCTAGCAAAGGTTTTGTATGCCCTAATTTTCAGTACAATGTTACCGGAAAAGAAGCATCGCAAGATTAGGTTGACAACTCTTAGTGCCTTTTTGGCAATGCTGTTACAGTGAGCTCTGGCGCTTAGATCGTTTGAGATCAATGTCCTCGACAGAGTGAGGGTCGTTTATGAGGTCATATCCGCCCAGCTTGTATTTGGTGTTTTTCATTTCTTTTCATTTTTTTATTTCTTTTTATTTATTTGGTGTTTTGTATTTCTGATTCAGGCATTTGAGAAGCCAGCTTTCCCTACCTAGCTTTTTCCCTCTAAAATTCTCTAAGACTATTTAAGAGATTTACGAATGCCTCTATGATCAAAAATGCATTTTTGGAAGAATTTTAGCTTCCTTTTTTCCAATCAAAATAATCTAAAACAAAGTCAAGTGTAACAGTGAAGCTGGTAAGTGCCAGAGGAGGTGTTTGTGGAAGCATTTTTGCCCATCAATACCATGTTGCCCATCCTACTATGTTTTGCACTGGGTGTGTTCTCCCTTTATTGGAACATCCCAGTCCTATAGAATGAATGGCTTGCAAGCATAGGATAGAAGTAACTTTTGCACTGATTGCCAGTGCAGAAACTGAGGATTGCATTCATATGGAGCTGTCTCCAATAGCTTCAAGTTATACTGTAGTAGATAGAAATATATGAGAGAGAAGCGGGGGAGGGAGAGAGAGAGCAAGCAGCCAGAATGCAATAGACCAATCTTTTATCATTTTCTGGCGCCAAGTGTACTTCAACAAAAACATTTTGCTACACAACCTCCCTCTTTCACTTTGTTCCACCTCTAGGACGGCTGCAATGTAAGGATCAGCCAGGTTGGACAGAAGACAGTACTTCATTAAAGAGGGAACATTCCCTGGAGTTAAGATGCTGTAACCCATTATTCAAAAATGTACCTTTTCCAAAATGCCTTCCCTGGAAGAAAAGAGAACAACATCCCTAAGCCAAACTGCTGTCATTTGTAGTTACCTGGTGGCTATAAGAGGGAATCTGTGAGTTGGCTTGTTCAGAGCATCTCTGTTTTGGGGAAGATTGCCATAGAAAAGAAGCTCCTTCTCTGTGAGAATGGCAAGGATATTTTTTGTCCCATCGCCTGGGAGCTGCAAATAAGAACGTAAAAGGTGCAGCTGTCAGAATGGCAGCCAAATTCACATATGCCACTGGAAAATGCCCACTAAGAATGGAAGCGATGTTCTTGCTGGCATCTTGTAAAAAGTATATTTGAATAAAGCACATTACTAGGTATATTGGAGTGACAAGTACCAGAGCAACATAATCAAAGGAATTCATGGACTTTGTATACGATTATCCTCTGTCTATTATTCTTCTATCGATACGATTAATTTTTTGTTATGACATCTTTCTAGGTTCACAGAAAGCTACTGAGTCAGTCCAGCTGGTCTAAAAAACATCTGTACAAAATGACAAATGTTTTCCACCGTTTCATTCAAAGGCCTTTCTCAGCTATACCATAAATGCTATGAACTGAACATGAGACTCAGAGGCATGCAAAATCTATACTATGATAATGAGACCCACTCCAGCAAGAACAACCTTAAAAATATCTGTATCTTCCCACCTTCAAATGAGCAGAAACTATGTTAATTAGAAACTGAGGTTACAGAAGATCTAGGAGCTACAAAAAAGGGGATTTGCATGCACATTCTATGTTGCTCACCCCTGACTTTAACATGGCATTGTCTTCCCTGATCAATTAATGTTACAATGTCACTAGAATCAGTGCAAATCAAATTAGGAACCCCAATCTTACCTGTTCTGTGAGCCAGCCAATGTGCTTGATATCTCTATTTCCTACAATGCCAAGTCCTGAATGTAAGGCCTTCAGCTCCTCTTTGACTCTTGGCAACAGAATGCTAACATTGCTATGAATAGCGTTGAGCCAAGACTGGGCAGATGCTTCCTCTTTTGCTCGAAGGAACAAGGAGATCCGTCCATCTGCTGAACACACTTCTAGGTACCTGCAAGATGAATTTTCCTTAAGACTGAAATGTGGGGAGCCAAAATGCAAGCTGTTGTCATAAAATGCCCAGCACTTTTTCTGAATTTCCATATCACTACTTTGAGAACTGGTTGGCTTTTGGCTTTAAGTCAAGGTACTGACAATTTTAAACGATCTCTTGGTTCAGGATCTGGGTATCAGCAGGACTGCCCACTCCCAGTAGATTCTCTTCATATTCTTCTGTTTTGGGAATAGCAATAGCATTTATTTATTTATTTTTATTTATTTATTTTATTAAATTTCTATACCGCCCTTCTCCCGAAGGACTCAGGACGGTGAACAGCCAGAGGATAAAACACAGAGATATAAAATTTAAAATAAATTAAAACAATTAAATAATTTAGGCTGAATTTTAAAATACCCCATAATTAAACGGATTAAAATTTATGTTTAAAATTTGAATTTAAAAAAGGAGAAGATTTAGGCCAGGCCAGCTTGATGAAATAAAAACGTTTTAAGTGCGCGACGGAAGGTGCAAAGATCCGGGATCCTCCGTATCTCCGGGGGGAGCTCGTTCCAGATCGTAGGTACCCCCACAGAGAAGGCTCTCCCCCTAGGGGCCGCCAGTCGACATTGTTTGGCCGAAGGCACCCGGAGGAGCCCCTCTCTATGGGAGCGTACTGGCCGGTGGGAGGCTATTGGTGGTAGCAGGCGGTCCCGTCAATAACCAGGTCCTAAGCCATGGAGCGCTTTAAAGGTGGTAACCAAAACCTTGAAGCGCACTCGGAAGACCACCGGGAGCCAGTGGAGCTCGCACAGGAGAGGTGTTACATGGGAGCTCCACGTTGCTCCCATCACCACCCGCGCAGCCGCACTCTGCGCCAGTTGGAGCCTCCGAGTGCACCTCAAGGGGAGCCCCATGTAGAGAGCGTTACATAGTCCAGACGAGAGGTGACGAGGGCATGAGTGACTGTGTGTAGGGAGTCCCGATCTAGAAAGGGACGCAACTGGTGGATCAGGCGAACCTGATGAAAAATCCTCCCGGTCACGGCCGTCAAGTGCTTATTTAGACTTATATATCGCTTCACAGTGCTTTACAGCACTCTCTAAGCAGTTTACAGAGTCAGCATATTTCCCCCAACAATCTGGATCCTCATTTTACCCACTTCAGAAAGATGGAAGGCTGAGTCAACCATGAGCCTGGTGAGATTCGAATTACCAAATTGCAGGCAGCCGGCAGGCAGCAGAAGTAGCCTGCAGTACTGCATTCTAACCACTGTGCCACCGTGGCTCTTATGCATTCTCACTGACCATGGTTATTTTCAGTTATTAGCCCACATCTCAGTTATTATCTCACTTTTTTGGGAACAGTATTGTCCAGATAGCCAGGTGGCCCCAGCTTGATACAGGGTTCAGAAAGGTGATTAAATGTCAACAGATCTTGGCTATCAGAATGTTGTGATATTTTGCACAAGAGATATTCTCTCTAGCAATGGAATTTCTTGGTTTAAGACATAAATATTCCTGGTGCCTTTTTGTTTTATTGTATATTTGCAAATGTTTGGATGTACACTGTTCAGAATTTTTTTGTGACTAGTGGCCTAAAGGCACAGTTAAATAAGTAAATAAAATAGATCTATGTAGAGAGTAAAGAAAATGACCTTGTTGAGAATATGCAAGAACTTGGAAAAAAAGCCAAGACGTTTTTAAGTCCTGAGAAACAAGATAATATTAAGAAGTGACAATGGCAGATGCCTCCTTGAATCATTGAAAGAGGGCAAATACAAGACATGCAGACTTGCAAGATTCTGTTGTTGTAGCCAATCTTAATAAAAGTAGTTCTAGTCTTCCTGTGGAGACGATTTCCTGGTCTGGTCTACATAGTGGGGCTGACAATCTATCTATGACACCTCTGACAATCCCAGTATTCTTTTAGGACCCATATTTAATTCAGTTGTGTTTGCATTGTAGAGACTATCATTATATAGCTGGCAGGAATAGACAACACTCCAGAAGATAGGCTTAAGATACAGAAGGATCTTGACAGACTTGAACATTGGGCGCTGTCTAACAAAATGAAATACAACAGTGAAAAAAGTAAGGTTCTACATTTAGGCAAGAAAAATAAAATGCACAGGTACAGTGTACATGGTACCTCACTCAATAGTAGTAACTGTGAAAGGGATCTTGGAGTCCTAGTGGACAATCATTTAAATATGAGCCAGCAGTGTGCAGCAGCTGCCAAAAAAGCCAACACAGTTCTAGGCTGCATAAACAGAGGGATAGAATCAAGATCACGTGAAATGCTAATACCACTTTACAATGCTTTGGTAAGGCCACACTTGGAATACTGCATTCAGTTTTGGTCGCCAAGATGTAAAAAAGATGTTGAGACTCTAGAAAGAGTGCAAAGAAGAGCAACAGAGATGATTAGGGGACTGGAGACTAAAACATGAAGAATGGTTGCAGGAACTGGGTATGTCTAGTTTAATGAAAAGAAGGACTAGGGGAGACATGATAGCAGTGTTCCAATATCTCAGGGGCTGCCACAAAGAAGAGGGAGTTAAGCTATTCGCCAAAGCACCTGAGGGCAGAACAAGAAGCAACGGGTGGAAACTAATCAAGGAGAGAAGCAACTTGGAACTAAGGAGAAATTTCCTGACAATTAGAACATTTAATCAGTGGAACAACTTGCCTCCAGAAGTTGTGAATGCTCCAACACTGGAAGTTTTTAAGAAGATGTTGGATAACCATTTGTCTAAAGTGGTGTAGGGCAGCGGTCACCAACTGGTGGCCCGTGGACCACTGGAGCTCTGTGAGAAAATTTTGTGGTCTGCAGAAAAATTATTTGTATTTTTTATATTGTATTAAATCAGGGATCCTCAAACTACGGCCCCTGGACTAGATACATGCAATGAACATTTGTGTTGCTGCAGAGAGTCTCCTCCTTTGGGGTCTTCTTGTGTGGGTCAGAGGGGAGCAGAAATTCTGACTCAGGGTCTGCGTCAGCCTCCTGGTGCAGGGCTTTAGGCAAAGTCTAAAGGCTGAGTCCTATATTGGAGAAGGGCGATATAGAAATTTAAACAAATAAATAAATAAATAAAATAAAGGCTGGAAGGAAGTGCCGCTGGTGGCAAGGAGCCGGAGGGCCTTGTTCCAGTGGAACTGTATCATGGCCTGGAACTGAGTGACCATCTCAGCCCACTGAGCCTCCAGGCGCCGGTATCTGGCCTTGCACACCCGGAGGTATTCCCTCTGCTTGGAAAACCTATGCTCATAGTCCTCAGTGAGGTGCTTCTGCTGAGCCTCCTTCTCGGTCAGATCCAATTTGAACTGAGCTGTTTTGCCAACTCTTTCTTGTGGTGGCTGCTTAGCTCCAACAACTGCTTCCTAAGGAGCCCGGGTGGGAAGGCAAGGAGTGGGTGGGAGGGGAGGGGTGAATAGAGGCTGGTATGGTGCCCCTTGATGTGAGTGACATTGAGTTGGCCACGCCCACCCAGCCACATGATCACCTAGCCACGCCCACCCAGCCAGTCATTAGGCAGATCATATTAGTGGTCCGCGGGATTTAAAATTATGAATTTAGTGGTCCCTGAGGTCCGAAAGGTTGCTGACCCCTGGTGTAGGGTTTCCTTCCTAAGCAGGGGGTTGGACTAGAAGACCTCCAAGGTCCCTTCCAACTCTGTTATTCTATTCTATTCTTTTATATAATATACATCTCATTTTCCTTTCCAAATGAAAAGTAGTGACACCCCATGTTGATTGCTCAAAGCACTTTAATATTAGCCTTTTAACCTCTTTATATTATGCCATTATTATCTTCCTCATATTGCTGAAGATGAAAGAAGGATGACAGTGACTTTTGAATTATGATTTCCCAAAATTGCATTGTTTATCTTTTTTACCAGAGATTTTTAGTGTGCTTGCCTGATGTCTTAGTATTAGGATAACCCAGTGACTGTAGTTTACCCCCAAGGACTCTTTTTTGTAAGTATATAATCTGCCTAGTGTATTCAGAGTTCTGTGAATATGCAAATCCACATACCCTTTTATGCATGCATTCAATTATTTATGTATGCTTTATCACTAATTTATAGGGTAGTGAGAAATGTCAGTTGTAATCAAGACATTGTACTATATGAGATTCAATATCCAAAGAGACATCCAACCTTTCAGGCGGCTAGTTGTGAGTTTTGCTCCATATGAGTGTCCTTATATTAGCTGCTTGCAATAGTGTAATTCTAATGCTCATGTCAAATCCTTCGTCTTGTTTTGACTTCTGATGGAATTGATACTATATAATGTCTTACTCAGACCCTCAGATCATTGATAATGCAAGCTAGAATTGATGAGGGTTTGAGTCCATCATTATCCTTGTAATACATTCACATACCTTTCCCAGCAGATGGATTCTTCAAGCATTATGCCCTGAGTGATCATTGGGTTACCTGTTTTCTGGATCATTTGGAAGACACTTCCTTGATATGTAGCACATTTTTAATGGGATAGTCTTCCCTTCCTTGAGGTCTTGCAGGGAAAGAGTTGGAGAAGCTTGCTTCTGAAAGCCTGGTGAAGAATCCCAACTTACAGATGAACCAGTTGAGGAATTCTTAAAATAAGGAGAGATTTCCTTCATGTATTTGACTGGAATAGAGAAAAACAACATAAAACTTTCAATATGCAATTCATTAAGTCTAAGCCTTACTTGAAGATGGGTGAGCCATAAACAGATAACTGCTCTATAACATTTAATACCTAGGTAGCAGACTAAGCTTACAGGAAGCTTACCTGGCCACAATCCTCCCTTCTTTAATGAGAAGATTTACATTTTATATATTATTTATAGGCTTTCTTATAAATCAGTATAAAATTATGCAAAGGGCCTCTATTTGCAAGATTATTTTTTTTATTTTTCATGACACATTAGTGATTGCCCCATCTGATGCTCTATACATAAATTAAAACAGTCATTAACAAAAACTGAGTTCACAGATATTGGAAAAAACAAATAATGTGATCACCATAGTCAAGGCAAGCTTAAGAGAAAGATTCATCACAACCTTTTCTTTGGATTATTCAGCTCCTAGAGAGCATGAGCCTTTAAATGACCAACATCTCTATCCTATCTAACCAACTACTAAACTATAGTTAGTTGTGTTTCTGTGATAAAGACCACCAATGGCCACAGTTAGGTAATACATTTGAAATTGTATGTAAATATGTTCTAGTCATACATAAGTATATAAAATATAGTGTTGGTGTAGTGATAAAGACATCAGGCTAGAAAGCAGGAGACTTATGAGTTTTATTTTGCCTTAGGCGTGAAGACAGCTGGGTCATTTTAAGCCAGTCACTTTTCTCAACCCTAGGAAGAAGGCAAGGGCAACCCACTTCCAAAAAAAACCCTTATCACGAAAACTGCAGGAATAGTCCAAGAAGTCATCAAGAATCAAGACTGGCACAAAAAAAAAAAAAGAATCTGTCTATTATCTGTCTGTCTGTCTGTCTGTCTGTCTGTCTGTCTGTCTTTCTATCTATCTATCTATCTATCTATCTATCTATCTATCTATGTCTTAGAGAATGAAATAAAAATAATAAGAAAAATAAATAATACAAAATAAATTTAAAAATAGCTGTAACCTAAGCATGTGTATATACGAAGAGCAATTTAAAGCAAAGGATAAACTTTTGTGCTTTTGTGTAAATCTGATTCCAAAATGTAACATGCAAGGCCTTCCCTCTAATAAGGCTATACTGTAATTGGTCCAAAATGGTAAAAACAGTTTAATTTCTGATTTTTATAATGATACTTTATCAGAATAACAGAGATCCAGAATCCATAATAGCCACTGCACCACTAGGGCGCCATGGTGCCGTAGTGGTTAGAATGCAGCCTAATTTATGCTCACTGCAGGAGTTCGATTCTGAATGGCTGAAGGTTGACTCAAACTTCTATCCTTCCAAGGTTGGTAAAACGAAGACCCAGATTGTTGGGGCCAATATGCTGACTCTGTAAACTGCTTAGAGAGGGGCTGTAAAGCACTATGAAGCAGTATATAAATCTAAATGCTCTTGCTCTTGCTATCATTCAAACCTCAAAATAGTCAAGAAATATTTGGGACACATAATTTTTGAAGATTTGTATAGAAAACATACAAACATACCCTTTTTACTAACAGAAATTATAGAAAAATATTGATGGCTACTCAAAGCTCAGGCAAAAGGACAGATTTTTCTGGTTGCCAGCTGTTTAATGTCGAAAAGCCAGAAGCCTCTGATGACCTCTGCTGATGGGAAAATCTCATGAAGGAACCATCAGTCGTTTAGAATCTGGTACCCAAGAGTAGTTAGTGGTGGTAGTAATAGTAGTAGTTGTAATTTATTATATGCCACCTGACTCCCAGTGATTCTGGGACGTTGAAAGAATAAGCTTTCAAGGATATTATTAAATCATCCAAATAACAAACTGGCAATCAGTGAAGAGCTTTAAGAAATTCAGTCTTGCTTCTCCTGTTGCGACACAGTTCTTGGCATCCACGTACTGGACTAATGGAGGTTTCTGAATTCTTTCTGAAGATAGATCCAACTATAACGCACAAAGAAGTAAAGAATCCAAAGTGGGTGTGGGATGACGGCTGCTTGAACTGACACAGTAGGTGTAGATGCCATTCTTCCCAGGTTTAACTCAAGCATTAACAAATAAGCCTGCTCTTAGCAACAAACTTTTTTTTTTTTTTTGCAGCCCTGTGGTGGCCTGATGACTGCAGCATAACTTTTCCAGTAGCAGCATGCACAATGAATCAATCACGCCATGACTATCACATGCCAAAAAACACTCAGCACAGATCTACTCAACCCACATTCTCAAAATGCCAATATCGTTATGCAAATACACCAGATGGTAACTAACCCAAAGCCTTTCTCTTTCACTTCAGGCCAATTCCAATATTGATACAAAAAATAAAATAAATTTGTGTCCCATGTTGTTGCTTTTACTGGAAACACTTCATTAAATGTATTCAGTCTAGTTTCTTTCCTTTTCTAGTTTGATATATCCTCTTCAGAATAATCAGCCTTCTTATTAGATAGTCTTCTGATGTGTTCTTAAAAAGGATTTTCTTTTCTTTGAACTGCCAGGGTGCTTATGAACCAGGAATATACATTTCCTATATCTATATGCCATACACTACTCAATTCACAAGGCTTCAATACACCCGTTTGTATTGGCGTGTTCTCTGAACTAAATGGCCATGTGGCATGTTTTGCAGATGTTATTTTTGCGAAGGATGGAAACACTTCAGTGAAAACTATTTCAAGTAGGATTAGGCTCCATGCATGAGGTTGGACCTTGAAGCTAAGCTCTGATGCTCAACATACTGTTTTGTGATTGGTGCATTCTCCAGCAGCCACTTAAACTGGTTGAATGCAGCAGAGAAACTGCCCAAAATTTGACAAAATATGCTAACCAGATTAAATTTTTTACATGTGTTCCCAGCTTGACAGAACAGATAAAAGTCCCCAGCTACAGAAGCTGTTTTTGACTGCCAGCCAACATCCCAGTGAAAAGCCACTGGGATGCCAGCCAACATCACACTGAGTGTAGTCCTATGGAAACCTCTGTCAATGCAATGGGCAGTTGATCAGCTGATATGAGAAGGAGTGAAAAATAGTTTATGTATGCAAAGCTACATACTTCTGTACTTATTATTCAGCAGAAATGGGACATGCAAAGAAAACCATCCATCAAACATTTGGAAGAATGATATTTGTTACATACGGGCTAAAAGATTAGGTGACAGACAAGAAATAATGATAAAAAACAATTACAATGACCTAGAATCACTTTCAAAAAGCAACGGAGAGAATTATCCTTGAGGAAAAAAAGACCGAGTGGAGCATTCAGAGATACAACAGAATGCTGCATTGTTTCTCTGTTGTTCTAGAAGGATCTTATGGTATAAGAAAGCAGGTTCGTTTCAGGTTCTGAACCTTGATGGAATTGGACTAAATTAACTTTTGGGTTCTGTGGTTCTATGATAATCCCACTAATGGAAACTGTGTTCTGAAAGATATGAATTGACTATAGAAAAGCTACATTCTGCTGGTATCTTCTGCACCAAGGGTGAAAATAATATTGCTGATATTTTAACATTCTGAAATGCTGGATACATGCTATAATTATAATTATTGATGTTATTTACAGTTCCTCAGTGACAGCAGATTTAGACTTATGATTACAAGAAATAGAGCACACAGAAATACAAGAATAAGATAAATTAAAGTGAAGTGTGTTTCAGGTAGGGCTTAGCACCCATATATTGAAAACTGATACTCCACCAGCTGCCTTAACAGGCTTCACAAGAATATTTTCAGAAGCTTCTCCAAAGGCTGAACAGGCAAAATGAGCTTTAAACCAAGGTAGAACTCTGATTGGTCTTTTCAGCAGTGAACTTCAAAAAACAAAAACTACAGCTGGCTGCATCCATGATTCTTTCCTACAGATGCACATTTATAGCTGTTCTAACACTGTAAAGATTACAGGCAAAGATATGAATCACAAACAACTCATTGCCCATCAACAAGGGAAATGATATGGACTTTGTTTCATGAATTGGAATTACTTCATTGAAGCCGATATTAAATAATTAAACCTAAAGGATGCAATAAATTATGAATATTTCATTTAGAGGGTTTTTTTTCTCAGAGAGGAATCTGCATTCAAGTCCCCACACAGAAATCTGTAAACCATTTGGTCAATGATAAAATATGTGAAAATTGGAAAATAATCTATAGTTTATATTGACTTTGGATCGCAAGGCTGCTATTCTTTTTGTAAATTATTCTGTAACCTATATTCCTTTTACAGATTCCAACAGAATGCTATTTTCTGTATTGTCATGCCTCCATTTCCTAAATCATGCACTCTGGGCATACACTCTATACTTCATGGAGGGTTTTTTTTTGTTGTTGTTATTAATGAAAATATTCTTTAACAAAATAATAGTAATCAAAATGAAATGCAAACAAAAAAAAAATGCCACCAGATGCCCAAAATGTGTAAACCTGAGAATAGAAACAACAGTCCATTTGAAACAGGGCCAGCCTGCCTGGAGCTTTGAAGTTTCTAGTGGCAAACTAATAATGTCACAGCATCTCTCTCTGGGGAAGTGGGATTTGGTCTGCTTTAACAAGTAATAATATCCATTTCTGAAGTGGTCAATCTTTGGCCAATGACTCAGGCTTTCCTCAAATTAACTCAAATGCTTCCATGTGTTGGCATTTCCTTTAGAGATACTTTGCAAAATTCTCTCCCCTTCCCTTCCCCCAAATCCAATGTACTTGGAGTTCAGACTGCAGGGGGTTTTCCTTTTTTTTTTTTTTTTTTTGGTACACAAAAACGGACACGAAGCACAGAGCAAACAGTTTCAGCTCCATCAGTGGCATCCCTGCTTCTCAGATTCATCACTGGTCCTTGGAGAAACTAGAGGAAAAAAGAATACTAATTAAAATAACACAGCTCCTACTGGAAACAGAAAGGTTGGCACTCTTGCAATGGGCAAACTGGGGTGAATAGGCTGTTTGTTTTGTTTGTTTATTTGTTTGTCCAATTCATATAGCCATCTATCTCAGTACATGGTTCTGGG